ATTAACCTCACTAGTACTCATTCACACTTTCACATGTGCTGCTGATATGATTAGTCAATTAATGTTAGCTGGTCATTTTGTGTCAGGATCAAAAAACAGTGAAATTTGTTTTTTTGTGAAAAGTTCATTTTTTGGCCAATGAAGCTATTATTTAAAATGCATCTGATCAATCTACACAATAATCTAGAAACAATGTGAATGAACACCACAACAGCTTAAGCAGCAGACTTTGCAAAACACAAAATGTATGTCACTGCCGAAACTTTTGGCCATGACTGTATATATATGTATGTATGCATGTATGTTATAATATTTTTTCAGTCTGTATGACCAGTTTTCTATCTTATCCTAGGTCTCTGTGCTAACTGGCATCATTAAGATAAGTCTGAAGACATTCCTCGAATGTGTCCGTCTCCGTACGTTTGGCAGATACGGACTGCAGCAAATCCAGGTGGACTGCCACTACTTGCAGATGTACCTGTGGCGGTTTGTGTCTGATGAGAACCTAGTGCACTTCCTGTTGGATGAGATTGTGGGTAGTGCCGCCCATCGTTGCCTGGACCCGTCTCCAATGGAGCAAAGTGTCATTGAGGTCATCTGTGAGAGGGGGTAGAGTGGGTGTTTTTCCTTAAATAGGCAAACAAGTTTGCACATAACTGAAACTGAACTCAACTGTTGGACAATACTTATATTTACCGTCATTTTATGTAACTGATGGAGTATCAATTTCAGTGAAGTCACTTGAACAATTAATAAAAGGTCAGTGAACTCCGATTGAACCCTATTTTAGATGGATTGAAATCACAAAGTTTTTTTTAACCTTCATTTAATCAAAGGCTATGAGTGTGTGGACATTGGCTGCTAAAAGCTGAAATATTATTGTCTCTTGTCAAAGTCCCAAAATGAACACAACATACAATGAACGAAACGATAAGCCATTTATTTAATAACTAATCACTGTATATTATAGGTAAGATGTTCTGTCTATAAAAACCAAATCGGCATGTTTAAAAAAGTTTATTTTATTGTTGATTTCTGAAAGCTGTTCAATCTGCATTAACTGGATAGTGTATATTTAATAAACGTAATGTACATTGTCCGCATCCTTACCTCTGTTGTTATTGAATGCCCTGTAATATGAAGCCAGAACAGACGCTATCGCCATTGGTCAGGAAGGCATCGGGGGCGGTTTCATCCGCTCGTCTTTGATTCTGATTGGTTCCCTGGTTGTCTCTCCCCACTCTTCTGATAGCAGCGGTACGCGCTGATTGGTCAGATGGCGCAAAGGCAAACAGCGTGTTCTGATCTCAGGCTTCACCTACTCGGACATCTACAGTGATGATGAGCGGTGTCCATACAATGTAACAGCAAGTTTGTGGGAAACAGGTAAGAGAAAAATACGCTATATATATTTTATGTATATATTAATAAGTTACTACAGGGTTATTTGGTTGATTCCATGAAGTGTGAATATAATCATGACGTTACAAACGCGTATACTACACAACTACTGCATTAACAAACGCACTGAAATTTAAATAATACATTATTCTTGTGTACTATATTTGTTTTGCCAAGCATGCTAAGGCCTCATCTTTGTCTCAAACAGGCAAAATGAAGCCTAACAAGCACAAAGCAACACATTCAGCTGAAAGGGAATTTGGAGGTGCTCTTGGTGAGCTACCATTTTATTTATTTTTTGTATATATGCTTATGTTTGTGTATGTGTAGTGATTTATTCACTGTGTGGCTATTTGTGGCTTCTGTGTCATATGAGTTAATTTGTCCACCTCACCTGTCCAGGTGCCACCTGCATCCCTGTGTTCCTGCCTCTGACGGTTCTGTACCTGCTGAGTGTGTGTCGGTCTCCAGCAGCCAGTGTCCTGCAGTGGCCTCCTCCTTTACCCCCCGCAGCACACTTATGGGACCCTTTGGCCGCAGTTCTGATTGTAGGTTGGATCACCCTGCAGAGTTTTCTCTATCTACTGCCCATAGGGAAGGTGAGATAGTGTATCATACGTTTCTTTGAAAGACAAATGAGTTTATTTTCTGAAGCGAGTATGTCAGATATTTCACTGATTTATTTGTTAACAGGTTTCTGAAGGATTAGTCCTCAGAGATGGATCCAGACTGAAATATGCCATTAATGGTAATACATGCTGTCTACCTGTTTGTAATGTTATACAAATAATGCTAATAATACATTTTTAATGTCTTTGACACAAATTAAACAGGATAGTCTTTGTTGACATGGTAACTTTTTACCTCTTGTCCTTGGTTTTACAAACCACCTATTATATACAAAGTAGAGTTCAAATTCCATTTGTCAGTAAACTCTAGTTTCTCCTTATATCTGGACAGTGCTTCATTTCTTTGTTCATTTAAGTTTAGCATAGTTTCATAATTCAAGACTGCATTTTTACAAAAAAATTTAAAGGTTAAGTAAAAAAACATAATATATATTAGTAAAGTTCTAAAGAAAAATAATACGCTTGATTGCTTAATTTAAATATTAATCATCTTAAATTATCAGGAGAAAATATAAATACATGTACACTACCGTTAAAATGTTTAGGGCTAGTAAGATTTTGAAGGAAGTTTCCTATTTTTACTAAGGCCGCATTTATTTGATCAAAAATACAGTAAAAACAGTAATATTGTGAAATATTATTACAATTTAAATGAACTGTTTTCTATTTGAATACATTTTAAAATGTAATTTATTCCTGTGATGGCAAAACTGAATTTTCAGCATCATTACTCCAGTCTTCGGTGTCACATGATCCTTCAGCAATCATTCTAATATACTGATTTGGTGCTCAAGAAACATTTCTTGTCATTATCAATGTTGAAAACAGTTGTGCTGCTTAGTATTAAACTAAAACATTTCTAAACCTTTTGAAAGGTAGTGTATATGTTTATCTTTGTAGATATGATTGTGATTTTCACATCTTTATTTCTTAGGTTTCCATGCCCTGAGCATTACTGCTGTCCTGTTGCTAGTATGTCTTTGGCTGGGAATGCCACTCGGGTATCTGTTTGAGCTGATTTTGCCTCTGGCTGTATGTGCCATCGGTGTGTCCTACCTGCTGTCTATGTACCTGTATATCCGCTCTTTCTGGGCACCTCAGCATGCTTTATCACTTGGAGGAAACACGGGTGAGATAAGAAGTCCTAATATTTACAGATCATTGTCAGATATTCCAGATATGCTTCTACTTTGAAGTCTCTTCGAAGTATTTGTCAATGCAGTTACATTGTGATTTGTAGGAAATCCTCTGTATGACTTCTTCATGGGCCGAGAGCTCAACCCTCGGATTGGAGATTTCGACTTGAAATATTTTTGTGAACTAAGACCTGGATTAATAGGCTGGGTAAGAGTCTCAACAGATGTATACATGGACATGTAAATATATATGCTATTGTTTAAAACGTTTGGGGTTATTATTTAAACAGTAATATTGTTCAATATTATTAAAATTTTATATTTACCATTTTAAACATTACATTTTAAAATGTAATTTGTTCCTGTGATAAAAAGCTGAATTTTCAGCATCATTACTCCAGTCTTCAGTGTCACATGATGCTTCAGATATCATTCTAATATGCTGATATCTAATCTGAAACACCAAAGTATTTTTACCCACTTTTTCTCTTTTGCATTGTTGTTTTTCAGGTGGTAATAAACCTGGGGATGTTAATGAAAGAAGTAGACCTGAGAGGCTCTCCATCTCTTGCCATGCTGCTTGTCAACGGCTTCCAGCTCCTCTATGTGACAGATGCTCTGTGGAATGAAGTATGAGAAAACTAGCCTATTCTGAAAATATATACATACATGTATTAATATAGACTGAGTTCCAAATACACACAACATTACCATTTTCCTTGTGTCTGCAGGAGGCTGTGCTTACTACTATGGACATTGTGCATGATGGATTTGGGTTCATGTTGGCGTTTGGCGACCTGGCTTGGGTTCCCTTCACGTATGGTCTTCAGGCCATGTTTCTGGTTGTGCACCCACAGTCACTTAGTACTCTTGGAGCAGCGGGGATTATTCTTCTAAATGGTAATCTACAGCCTGTTTTGCAGCAATCTGAATGTATAACATTTTCTAACTCTCCTATTTTGAATCTTTTGCAGGAATTGGTTATTACATTTTCCGGAAATCCAACTCTCAGAAAAATCAGTTCAGAAGAGACCCCACAAATAAAAGTGTATCGCGTTAGTAATCACGTGTTTTTTGTTATGCTACCAACTTTTAGTTTGTATTTAGTGAACATTGTTTTAGAATTTTATCGGGATCTAAAATGAAGGGTGAATTTCTAACTGGAGACCAAATTATGGCTTCCAGAATAGCATAAATTATGAATTTTCTCATCCTTTCTTTTCACTTGTAGAGCTGGAAACTATCGCCACTGCAACAGGAAAGCGTCTCTTGGTTTCAGGGTGGTGGGGGTTTGTCAGGCATCCAAACTACCTGGGGGACCTTCTCATGGCTCTGGCGTGGTCCCTGCCTTGTGGTAAGTGATCAGCAAATGATTTGAACTGATGATAGTTATCATTCCTTGAACACTCCTGCATGATAATGATTTTTACACAGACCAGGGTTGCCAGGTCTAGGTAACAAAATTAGCCCAATAGCCAATCAAAAGTCATCAAATCATAATTGCAGTATAATTTAATCAGTTGTTTATTCCAACTTTTTTTCTTAGGAATGTTGCATATTCTGCCTTACTTCTATGTCATATATTTCACCATTCTGCTCATCCACCGAGAGGCCAGAGATGAGAAACAATGCAGAGCCAAATACGGACTGGCCTGGGACACGTACTGCAGACGAGTGCCCTATAGAATAATCCCGTACATTTATTAATATAGACTGATGTGTTCAACCAGTGGATGTGTCCTCATCAGTGCAGAGAACTGGACATAACAAAAGATATGGCATATATTGTTTTTATTTGCATCATAACATTGCTTTCTATTCATTCAGATGTTTTTAAAAAATGAAAAATATATTGTAATGTATTATTACACATTTTTTTATTATCATCAGTGTTCAGTAGAATCTTCAAGTGTGGACTGCAGCATTAATGACATTTAAAGGCTCAACACATTTTTTTTTTTATTCTTCAGACACAAATACCTGCAATACAAACGATTTTATTTTAAATTAAATTTCTTCTATCAAAGCGCCTTTTCTTTTTTCCCATCCCTTTTCCAAACATTTCTTCTCTCCTTCTAATCTCATCCTCTCCATCTCCCTTCTCTCATGGTCCATCCACACACATCCTGCAAGACTCCTCAAAACTTTGGGATTCTCTTTCAACCAAGACTGAAGAAACTCGCACTTCTTTCCAGCTTGAAAATACATCCGCCTCATCTGCTCATCTTCCTTAGGAACAGAAGCCTTTGCCTTGCTCAAAGCGGTGCGCAGCTGGGACAGAGCGGACAGAGAATATCCCACAGCGTCCTCTCTGCTCGCTCCAGTCAGAATATGAGCCACCGCTTCCACAGCTCGAAGTGGAGCTAAAGGGTCCTCGCGATCAAAGTATCCTCCTGCAGATACAGCTCTCATTCCAGCGTCGAGAGCCTCCGAGACGGAGTTGAAGACCTGTCCGCCACCCAAACCCTCTGAGATGGCAAGCACCACCTGACAGAACTCGAGCAACATCTCTGAGACGTCTCCATTATAGAGACACAGCGAGAAGGTGTATCCATAAAGAGCACTGATCAGGTTGTACCGCACTAGAGGAGATGGGTTTGAAGATAGTGTGTGAAGAGGAGGGATTTTGGCACTTATTGGTGGGATTGAGCTTTTTAGTGATTTGTCCGATTTTACTTTATTGCTACTGACTTTCTTAATTTTTCTGTCTTTTTTATCATTCATATTGTGCATTTCTTTATCATTCTCAGACTGAAGTTCCTTGATAAGTGCTTTAGTATCTTTCTCATGCCGTTCCCACCAGGGGCTCCACAGGACAACCAGTCCACCAATGCCACCTTCTTTCACCAGTCTCTCAAATTTCTCCTTTTGCTGGGCTGACAACAACGACCAGAGTTCATCCTCTGAAAGAGAGTCAACATCCAGGCCTGCTAACTTCTCAGCTAAATCAGTTTCCTCTTCATCACTCCCGTCTTCAATATCTCGGAGTTCTGCTAGTATTTCTTGTGCCTCATGACTTGTTTCATCCCCACTAGATTGAATCTCTGCTAACCGAGAAAGCAGCTCCAAAGCATGTGCGTCTTTTTCGGTCACACTAGTTTCATCTTCTCCCAGGTTTCTTAATAAACTCTCCATTCCTCCCTCGCTCTCTGCACTCTGTCTGAGCCGGAGCAGAATGTCCTGCATCTTGCTTTTCCCCTCCTCATCTGAGACACCTTGGGATTTCAGCTCCTGCAGCACAGACTCTTTATAAAACTCCTCTGAGCATGAGGAGTGATTCTGACTCCTGTAACAAGCCAGGCCGCAATATGGGACGTTACACCTCGGGCAAGTGTAACAGGAGGGTTTGGATAAGCAAAGCCCACATGGTTTGACTGATGGTGCAGTAGTTTCACCCTCTGTCCCATCAGCAGGTGTCAGGAGAGCTTCAGAAGTCCCTCTTTGGGGGAGCGCGATCCCATCTTTGGTGGTAATTGATTCAGAGTCTGTTTCAGGCCAGTCGCTGAGGTGCTTCTCCTCCTTCGGTGCAATATCAGTGAGTAATGAACGAACGCACGCTGGGATTTTACGTCTAACTACAGGATCCATGAACAGCTAATTTACCGAGGTAGATTGCATTGGTATTAATGTTCAGATCTGCAATTAAAAGGGGGGGAAAAGTCATCTTTAATAATTGAGTCTAATGTTGATAAAAGTTTAAATCTTCACAAAAGCATAACGGATTCAAATCAATTACACATCAACATCTCTCCAAATAAATGTTTTAAAGTTTCTTACCTGACAGAATTCTGTGTATGCGCACTTTGTTCCCACACACGTACATATATATTAAAAATGAGCAAATATTTCTTCAGCCCGTGTTTTTAAATTTGCTTTGATATAAAGCGCCACGTTAGAATAACGTTTCTCGTCGCAACATGATGACGCATTCGTCCCCTTGCACGGCATGCATCAAGACTGCGCAATATTTGCGCATGATGGCTAGCTAGCTAGATGGATAGTTTTTTTTTTTTTTTTTGCATTTCAAGCATCATTACAGAACAAAATAGGCTAACATAACCAAGACTGAGACATTTATATTAATCATACTATAACACAGAAATAAACCATCATACAAGACATTAATCAGAATAAAATCAAATTAATTAATGCACCCATAAACAATGTAGGGGATTAAACAAAATCACACTTATTAAACAAATCAAATCATTTCTTGGCTTTATCACTTCTCATAATTTTCAGGACCTCTGTATACATGGCAAGCTCCTTTTTAAAGACATTAAACTGGGGTGCTGTTTTCAGAACTTTACATTTGTGAATAAAGTATTTTAATATGAGGAGTAAACAATTGACTACAAAGTCTACACTTTTGTCCTCCAAAAGAACTCCAAATTTCAACATGTCCCAAGTAATAGATGGAAAAATAGACATTCTTTGTTTAATCCAATTCCATACTTCAGTCCAAAACGATGGACAAATAAGTGTTCAACAGTTTCTACATCATTATTACAAAATTGACAAATATTACAATCCACATTAAATCTTAATCTCAGAAATTCCTTAGCAGGATAAATATCGTACCACATTTTAAAGTGCACTTCTTTATATTTTGGTGGAAGAGGAAATAACAAATATTTGTATCTAAATTCATTAACTGATTTCTTATTTAGATGTTGAACAATATAGTTCCTTCTTATTGGACCAGGATAGCTTTCCTGCACAAGACAATTTCTTAGCTAGATAGATAGTTACCTATAAAAGGTGCAGAGTAAGAATGGAAGTGTGTTGCACCTGCTGCCAATCCTGTAACGCCTGGCTATGTTGGCTTGCTTATGGATTTGAATAAATCTTTAAAAATTGAGAACTTTCTTGTCCTACTTTGTATTACCTGGATTGAAACATAACAGATAGTTTGTTTATCTGGCAAATCATTATTGACCGAAATATTTTATCAATAAAAAAAAGAAATGATATGCAGTATTCAAAACTGTTCTCTCACTTTTCTGAGAAAATTTACCTTTTGCTTTCACTGATCATCCTATAGTAGATTTTAAAACTTTTTAAATTAATTTACTTTCATTTTGACCAAATTCAAAAGTTTCACATTCATAAATTCGATTTACAAATAAAAAAGCTTTATGGTTTTGTTAACTGAAGTAATGCTGTACATAGACAGTATTAGAGACTCCTTGGCACTTAAATTTATTTTTGTAGTGGTTGTCCTTTTTTTTTTTACTGTATGTATAATTGTGTGATGTTTGCATTTGTTCAAAGTGCATGTATAATTTAGATACATTTCTTTATATTGAGCCTTTTTTTAGGATAAAAGTATTACAAATAGGATTTAGTGAATACCTTACATTGATTTCAATCCTAAAAAACAGGGACAACATGGAAACGTTTGCTATA